TCAGCTTCATTTACGAGGAATTCCTGTTACAATCCGCTTCCCCCGATTATCAATAACAGAGACAATGACCAATCAGAGAGCGGCCCAGCTGGGGCCCTTCCGTGGGGAGCCGCTGGCCCCCCGACTTCACTCTGTTCTCACTATTAATAATTAAAGAATCTCCCTCGTCCTGCGACCCCCGACCTGCAGGGGTCCAGCCCCAGGAGGAGTGGACAGCAGAGCTGAGCCCTCAGGGGACTTGAACCGGGGACCTCACGAAGGGGGGAGCCTTCCCATGGAAGTGGGGTCTCCCAAAGCCTCCACCGTGGGGTCCCCCCAGGGCAGCCTGGCCGCGTGCGCCCAACGCCCCTCCCACTCGTGGCGCTGCTGGGGACCCCGCACCAGCTGCCCTCAATCCACATGAGGCCTGTGTCCCCCCTTGAGCCTGTGAGCACCCCGTCTCTGTCCCGGCCTTCAGGAGAACCCACAAAGCCCCCCATCTCCCCAACGTGATGCCCATGCCCCCCCTGTGGGCTTGTGAGCACCCCATCTCTGCCCCAGCTTTCAGGAGACCAGACGAGGACCCCCACCTCCCCCTGCAAGGGGTTCCATGCATGAAACACCCCCTCATCTGTGGGGTACACCTGGCCCCCACGTCCTCCCTGCGAGGTGCTGTCCACGGAAACCCCTCCCTGTCTGTGGGGTACGTGACCCCACCTCCCCCCAGTGAGGCGCTCTATGCACGGAACACCCCCTCATCTGTGGGGTACGCCTGGCCCCGGGCTTGGCTCTGCTCGCTGAGAGAGGACAGGGGCCCGCTGTTCCTGGGTGACCAGGTCAGGGGTCGACCTGTAACACGGGGGACAGTGCAGTGACGTCGGAGCCAGAGAGCAGACGCCGACACAGACACTCAGACACACACCTGTCCTCCAGGTGCACGAGGGAGGCCAGGAGAAGAGGGGGCACTCGGGGCCTGAACGACATCGGAGGGACCAGAGACCCGGCCACTGCGGTCACTACTCTCCTGGTCTCATGAGGTCCACCCGGAGAAGGGGCTGCAAACAGGGGTCCCCCTCCCACGCGGGGGGCCTCGCTCCTCATTGCAAGGAGGAGTGTCCGTCAGAGGCTCGAGGAGATGGACCGAGGGCGGCTGTGGCCCGTGCTGTGTGGACGGTGGAGACGTGGGGACGGCATCTGGGCCGGCAGGACGTCAGCCTCCTCTCTCGGGGCTGTTTTCATCCGTAACACACCCCACGGTCACCACGTCCTACCTGCAGGGAGAGGCCCCGGGGTCGGCTGACCGTGTGCTCGGAGGTTCCCCCAGCGACAGAGGCCGAGCGAGGAGGCCGCCGTCCACGATACAGCTCGCTCTGCAGACGCCACGGCCACCCCTGTCCACGCGCAAGAGCGGTGGGTCCACAGCCCAGCTTGGTCCACATGGTGAAGGACGGACTGGATGGAGGTCCAGCTGCATCCACACGGTCAAGGATGGACAGGATGGAAGCCCAGATGTGTGCATACGGTCAAGGAGGGACAGGATGGACGTCCAGCTCTGTCCACGTGATCGAGGAGGGTCAAGATGGAAGCCTGTCTCTGTCCACACGGTCGAGGAAGGAAAGGATGGACATCCCGCTCTGTCCACACGGTTGACGATCAGGATGCAGACCCAACTCTGTCCTTTGTCCGCAGGGTTGAGGATGGACAGGATCGAAGCCTGGCTGTTCACACGGTCAAGGGGGGGTCACGGTGAAGATCCGGCTCTGTCCACATGGTCAAGGGGCACGATGAAGACCAGCTCTGTGCACACGGCCAAGGAGGGTCAGGACCGAGGTCCAGCTCTGTCCACACAGTCGAGGATGGACAGGACGGAGGCCCGGCACCTGTGCCTCACGTGTTCACGGACAGAGCAGAGTGTGTCCAGTAACTCAGAGTGGACATTGCAGAGAGAACGCGTAGGACACTAGAAGGCGTGGCGGGCATGTCCCCCGGGCGGGGCCAGCGCTGGACCACGGGGTGGCTCCCCGAGGGTCTCAGGGTCCAGTGCACTCAGCGGCGTCCTCGATGAAGACCTGGCTCTGGACGGAAGACCCCACAGATGGCGGGGACACGAGCAGTCGCGGTCACTCTCACCCCCCAGGATGGACACTGGGTGCTGGGTCAGCTGCAAACCCCCTGCACACGGGCCTGAGGACCAGAGAGGACCCCGTCCACTGGCTTACCCGGGGAAGAGCTTCCGGAACCTTCCGAGGGCGGCGTGGCTGATGACGACGGTCACGTGGGCTACTCCGTCCTCACGGTCCACGTCCACGTCCTGCACGGTGGCCTCACGGTGCAGCCAGCTGCGGGGAGGGACCCCAGGGGTCAGGGCCGGGTGGGCGGCTGGGAGGGGGTGACTGCGGGGGTCTCCGTGGGGACACAGACTCAGAGCTAGAAACTACAAGGTTTTCGGGGCACGAGTGTCCTTCCCACTGCTCAGACCCCGCCTCGCAGGACACACGTCGACGTAGGTCTGACAAGTGGACCGTGTGCCGAGTGCTGGCTGGTTTAAAGGAGGAGTGAACTTTCTCAGATGGCCGTGTGTCCAGGGTGTGGGGGGACAGGGACGCTCGTGCAGCCCTCAATGGCGAGTGTGCACTGGACGGTGTGTGCGTGACCGGTGTCCACTGTGTGGACGTCGGGTCTAGAGACAGTCATGTCCACTGTGTGCATGTGGGGTCTGGACACACTGCGCGTCCACCGTGTGGGCACGGGATCTGGACACACTGTGCGTCGTGTCCACTGCGTGTCTGGACACCTCCCAGGTCAGCGCGTGTGTTATGAAGGGTGAGCACTGGACTAAATGGAGGCCAGTGTCCCACTGGACACCGGGCGTGGAGCTCCCTGTCCTCTCAGCCCCTCGTGTCCTGTGAGGGTGAGTGTAAGTGGACCCTCCTGGAGCTGCTGGATTTGGGGTGTGATCTGTGAAGGGTCAGCGGGCGTCACTGAGTCCACAGGAGGTGTGTCCACTCCATAAAGTGGACAGAGTGGACCTTCCTGGACTTGGTGTTTGCTTGATGGATTTGGGGTGTCATTTATCAAGGGTCAGTGGGCGTCACAGAGTCCACAGCGGGTGTGTCCACTCCATAAAGTGGACATGAGGCTGTATTTTCTAGAGCCCAGTGTCCTTCATCGAATGTGGACACAACACGCTTTGAATCTCTCCCGAGGCCCACATGACCCCCCCGGCCTTCTGTCCACTCACCTCAGCTGCGGCCCATCCAGCCGCGTGCGCAGGGTGAGGACCTTGTGTCCGGTGGCCCTGAGGACGGCGTCCTGCAGCCGTGACTTCAGCTCCTGCAGCCCCTGACCCCGCAGGGCGGACACGGCCACAGTCCCCGGCTCCGAGGGGCTGTACCTGTCAGAGGGAGGACACCTGGTCATCAAAGACCCCACGACCAGGCTGCGTCCAGCCCTCGGCCAGGTGGGTCCTGGCTGGACGGCCTCCTACGCTTCCTGCCCTCAGTGGACACTCTGCTCTCCTGTCCACTCCCCAGCCTCTTCCTGCTGTCCAGGTCTCCTGACAGGGACGGAGCGTCCAGCCAGCAGGGAATGTTAGTAATAACCTGCAGGGTTCTGTCCAGCTCTCTGGGGATCTAAGCTGACCAGGGCTGGGGTCTAAGCTGACCAGTGCTGCGGTCACAGAGGCATCACCAGGGGGGCTCTGAACAGAAAGGCGCTTCCCTGAGGTGAGGAGGCTTCAAGGCCAGTTCAGGGCCCTCTGACCACGTGTCCTCTCCACGTCCTCTTGTCCCGAGGCCTCAGCACAGCCACCACCTCGGCCGTGACCCCGCGACACTCTGTGCGGCTGACGCTGACCCCGAGGTAACACTGACCCCCAGGACGTTAATGCGGCAGCGGGTTCCCCTCCTCCAGCTGCCACCCCAGCGGTCAGTGGCCAGAAGGGAGACAGTGTCCCCCGACAGAGACTGGGGCCCTCAGAACCGCAGTGGACGGGCCCCGGGGGCAGACACGCTTGACCACGACACGTCCGAGGGTTTATCTCTCCTCCGCGGCAGACGGCGTCCTGCTCCGGTTAAGGTGTGGGGTGACGGGGGCCTGGACACGGGTCAAGGCGGCTCTGACGGCCAGCTGGGGGGCAGGGCGACGTCCGACCCAGGGGCCCGCGGTTCAAGTCCCTCAGATGCTCTGAGCCGCCAGGAGGGGTCACCTCCCCCCAGGGACTCAGCCGCTGACATCCCAGGACGGTCAGCCAGGGGCCGGACCTGTGTCCACAGCAGCGAGCTGGACTGGGCTGCAGGGAGCGGCATGGCTGACCCACAGGCCATCACGGTATGTCAATGGGAAAGAATGGACGGTGGACACTGGGAAGTCCACTCTCCAGAGAAAAGAGCAGAGGGAGTGAGCAGAGAGTGGACACTAGGAGGTGGGTATCCGTCCAGCGCTACGTCTCTGACCGCAACAGCTCAGGACCAGGACCCTGGGCCTTAGACGAGACAGACCAGGTGACCCGAACGTGGACTGTCACCCCCTCAGCGGGGGACCACGGCCACCTCCCGGTCAGCTGTCCACCCACACTATCTCAGGGGCCCTGAAGGCCTGAGAGACACAGCCGTGTGGACCCTGTCCATCCACGTGTGGGTCCTGTCCATTGACGTGGTCCCTGTCCGTCCTCGTGCTGGCCCTGTCCAGTTGCATGAAGGGAAGCCCCTCACCCCCACCCCAGGACCCAGGAGGAGGGCGGCCAGGGGTCCCGGCTCACCCGTTGACCAGGTCCACCTTATTGTGGACCTCCACCATGGACTCCAGCAGAGAGGCGGGCAGCTGCAGGCCCCGCAGAGTGGACAGGACGCTGGCCTTCTGCAGCTCCGTGTCGGGGTGGCTGACATCCCGCACGTGAATGACCACATCCTGTAGGGTGGACACACCTTGGGGTCAGGGCGGCCGGGACGCTGACCTGCTCACACAGGAGGGCCTGCCGCTCTGACCAGGGGCCTGGCGTCCTTAGGACTCACAGACCCTCCTGTGGAC